ATTTTTTTTATTCAATTATATTCTTTAGACCATTTCTTAGATCCCTTGGTGTGTCTATTGGGGTTGGTCTAAGTCTCATTCCATCTTAATGTTTACCTCTTTTCTTACTCTCATTCTTTTTGCATCAGCGTTAAGTAACTTAGATATATGTTATTATACTATCAATACGGATTGAATAAAAAAATATCATTTTTATACATAATGTTGGAATGTTTAAAAGCCTTGGAAGTTTTTCAGGTGGAAAAAGAAAAAAGAAAAACTCTTTTAATCACAAGTAAAGAAAGAAAGCCAACGAAACAGATAGTAAATACCAATCTAAGCTTCTAAGTTGATGATGTCATTGCGCTAACTATTAGAGTGTGGGAATATGTGTGATGTTATCGAATTACACTTTGATTTCAACATTGGACCATCCTTCAATATAGTCTTTATTCACAAAATCAGAACCGATTACTGAACAACACAAATCCAAAATCTTCTTAGCTATTTTCGTACGGTCGGAGACATGAGACCAAGCGTTGCGTTGATGCTGTCGAAACAAATTGTCGCAGATGCAATTTCGTCTTTACGACAACCTAAGAAGTAACGAGTGACATCTCTTCTCTCTGATTCTTACGCAGGCTTCGTGCTTAAGACGCCATTGTTTTATACATATATGGTGGTGAGACTGAAACAGTTGCTTTCATTACCTTATTTCCGTTTAATTATACAGGATCGGGATAATCAAAACAAACCATATCAAAATGCTTAAACCAACTTAAACCGATGATTGAAAACCGAATATGTTATTTCAGACTAGAGTTTTTTTTTTTTTGCAAACCGAATCGATTAAACTGAAATTCGTTAAAATTATCATTGTATATACTAAAGTTAACAGATTTTTTTCTTAACCTACAAAAAAGGCTTTGATATATTTAATATTTTTCAACAGTCAATTTTAGTTAATTTTATCTTTAATATTTTTCAACAGTCAAAATAATTAATTTGTTTTCAAAATTTTAAATGATAATATATATATCCGAATTAAATTTTCTTACCAAAATATTATATTAATTTAAAGGAATACTTCTATATACAAAAATATGATTACTACCACAGACTGAATACATGTATATTCAACGTTTTTTTCTTTCTTGAAGAGGAATATATGCATTCAACGTTACCTTAATATTTAGTCACCCCTTCAAATACATTTAAATTTCTGTTAACTGTCAGTCTATATAAAAAGGGAATCAATATGCATTTTAAGTTCTATCTCACACACAACCCACTCCACATAATTTACATAACAATGGCTTTCTCCAATAAGCCTCATTGCATTTTGATGTTTATGATCTTGTTTTTTACTCTTATTCTTTTTGCATCAGCGTTAGATGTCTCAAATGCTGTAGCGGAAGCACCAGAACCAGGATCGGGAGACGACGGCCTGTTACCTCTAGCTGGAAAGCATGTTGTGATCCGCAATGTGGTAGAGAACTTCGAAGTTCTGAATGTACATTGCAAATCTAGTGAGGATGATTTGGGGTTGATCCATCTCCATTGGAATCAAACTTGGGGTTTCAGATTTCATGTTAACCTTTGGAAAACTACAAGTTTCCGTTGTCATTTTACGTATTATGGAGGTGGATCTCATTATTTTGATATATTTAAAGTATCAAGAGATGATACTCCAAGAAGTAAAATTGCCCCAGTATGTAAAGAATGCATTTGGGAGGTGGGCCAATACTATACTCTTCCTATGTGTCGTATAAATCGCGATGGATCTGCTCCTTACTGTTTCAAATGGGATGATTGATAGCTTTAAAAAAAAAAACTGTTGTTATTAGTTATTATCATACTTCATTTAATAAATATTACAATAAAAAAAAGATTGAATAAGATAATATTACTCTATTGTTCGAATGTTTAAAAGCTCTTTTTTCTTAGAAGATCGATCCAACATAAACAAAGTAAGGTTTTTAACTCCACTTGCATTATTTTTGTTCTTTTACTGCTATTCCAATTTAATGGAGCTGATTCGGAGCTCCTATGTGACTATCTAAAGAAACTTGATGAGCCCATGAATGAGTCACCCAAATTTCTCAAAAAAAAAGATGATAAGGAAACAACCACATGATCCGAAGCATATTTACACAGAACACAGTAGCAGACTAATTGATCTTGTTCATGATTATATACTTCCCTAAACAGCTTCAGCTGAGTCTATGTGCCTTCTATTAATTTTTTTCCCTTTGATATCAGAAATACGATAATTTTATTCAATCTATTATTGTCATTTGAAGAAGATACATCTTGATGATTCCTTGCAACATTTTTCGCCTCAATGCGGTAAATCTGCTCTTGCAGTCCACACGTAAGGGACATACGGTCTCACTTTCATGTATGTTGTCATGCAACAATAAAAATATAATTCTAACTTCTCATAGATCTGAAGAATACAGACTTTTTCAAATGAAAAAGAAAATGCAAGATATATTTTTTTCGTGTATAATAAGGAAAGACGTCTAATCAAAATTTATAAAAAAAAAGACATCTAAACAAAATTTTGCATTTAATGTTTTTCAAATTTTTAAGTCAATTGTTGCATTTAGTTTGACTGGCAAGGAAATTTTAGTATTAATTCTATAAATTAATAATTATTATAAATTAATAAATTTTACTGATTATGAATCGGTTCTAATAATTAGATACATTAATAATTATATATTTAGTATATATAAATAATGTAATGTAGTAAAATATAATTATATTATTGGTTTAAGTTTGTAAAATGTTGTTTAATTTATTTTTCAAATTCATTAATATGACATTTTTAATGAATATATATTGTTGAAAATATTTTGTTACATTTTTTTTTATGAACATTAAATTTTTGAACCAAACAATATCTTTTAATTTTTCTTAAATAATAAGTATATAAATTAATAAATTTTTGAAGTCTCAACGTTATCTATTTATAGAAATTTTAGTATAGATTTATATTTGTATTTCTCCATTAAGCTAAAAGTATAATAAGATACTACCATAAACTAAATATATGCGTTCAACGTTGTCACCATAACAAAATTATTTACATTTTGTTAAACATCTAAAACTGGGAATCAAGGTGCATGCATCTCAAGTTTTTATCTAACCACTCCCACATAAATTACATAACGATGGCTTTTTCCAATAAACCTCATTATATATTGATGTTTATGATCTTATATACTACCATTCTTTTCACATCTGCATTGGATGTTTCAAATGCTACAGCGGAAGAGCCAATGACGGCTTCTCTTACCTCTATCAAGAAAGCATGTCCTAATCCACAACGTTGTATCAAACAAGCAGACTCTGAATGTACATTGCAAGTCTTATGAGAGTGATTATGCGTTAGTCCACGTCCCTTGGGATCATATTTGGAGTTTTAGATTTCGTGTTAACATTTCGAAAAAAAAATTGTTGCCATTTTACATGATGTGGAGACGGATTTCACTATTTTGATAAATATATAAAGTATTAGGAGATAATGTACTTGTGATGTGGGATGTAGGAAGAAACGATCAACTCCTAAATATTTGTCGTATAAATCGAGAGCATTCAAAATATAGGAATGCTTAAAAGCCTTCTTTGAAAATTTTCTATATCTACATTATTATAAGCGTATCTACATCAGCAAACTATAAATTTATAAGAACATTAGCAAAAAGATGATAGGAAACAATCACATTATAAATAACAACTACTTTGTTACTTTGTTCATTACTCCGAGACTAGTTGTCTAAAAAAGCTTTAAATGAAGAACAAACAAAAAACTATCCTCTGCACAAAAGTAAGAGAAAAAAAAAACCCTAAGATATAGTAGACACAATCTAAGCTTTTAAGTTGGTATCTTGACGCAAGTCTTTGTTACTTTTTCATTATATAAATTTCTTCCGAGACTGTGGAAACATCAAGAAAAGCTTCTGTTTGTCAAAGATTGATTGTCAGTGACAACAAAGAACACTCTCAAACGTGTCCATCATATATAGGCTACGTTCATAGATTCATACGAACAAAATACCAATCAAGCAAGTGGAGAATTAATTTGGTTACCTCTTCAATGCCGGATTTGTAAAGAAACCACATTCAACATTGGACTATATATCCTTTAAAAACTCAGCTTTGGTCCCAGATCAGAAGCAGCCGGAGTTCAAGACTACTTTAAGCACCCCAAAAAATCATAATCCCAAAATCAAAAGCCAAACCAAGTATCATTACCGGTTTCAGAACAACACTTCTCAAATCTTCTCTCGTTCGTCGTCCTCGAGGGATAGATCATCCGTGAGACTGGGAGGGAGACGGAACTGGACTGAGAAGCATGAGAGATCCTAGTGTGGTAGCTTTTCCGTATGGTCGGAAATATATAAAACGAAGCGTTAACGATTCTTCCGCAGTCTTCGTGCTTGAAACCATTTTTTTAAAAAAAGTTGAAACCTGAAATTCGTTATTTTTATTGTATATAATAATAAACTTAAAAGCACTCGTATGGTATATTATATATAATTAAACATTCTACTAACTAAATTAAACCATTACGTGTTTATATTTTATATATTTTTTAAATTAAATCAGAAACAAAATTTTATTTACCAACCCTAAGTTACACCAACCCGAAATTGCATCAAACCAAACCAAATAATGAAAATAGACAATTGTTTGTATTAATATTTTTTTTTTTTTAAAAAAAACTGTAAACCAGAATTTCCTCCTTTAATTCCTACTATTGTTTTTTGTAAATTGCAGACAACAAGAAGCAATGGCAAGAAGTAGCATTATAAAACTCTGGATTTTAGTGGAGATCCCACATAGTGTGACCACATTACATCACCGATTTCTCGTTTTCTCATTAGAGTTTATATTTTGTTGGTCAAACCCATTTTGGGTTTTCTAATGTCGTGCATGAATTAACGGACTAATAAAATAATGAAATAAGGAAACAGAAGCAAATATTATATTATGCTTTTTTTGGCTGTCTCATTGAAACCCTGAAACCTTAATAAAAAGAGAGCCCCTCTACAACATTTTAATACACACACTAAATACAATACCTCTCTCTCTTAACTCACTGTCATTATGTTCGCGCCGCCAGTCGCCGCCGCGTCCTCTGTCAAAATCCCGCCGTGTCCTGCGGTCGTCGAACAATCGAAGGAGAAAGCCCTTTTCTCCGAATCAACCCTGAGCCAACTAAGCTTCCCGAACGAGTTCCCTTACGAGTTCGAATCCTCGACATTTCCCTCCGCTTTCACCGCTCCAGAAGACTCAACGGGGACCGAAGATGAAACAACAGACGACGAAGATGACTTCCTCGCCGGGTTAACTCGCCGACTCGCCCTCTCGACTCAGCGCTTCCCTTCTCCTCCTTCCTTCGTCACAGACAAGGCTGAGGTTTGTTAAAAAAGCTTTACTCTTTTCAATTGTTGTCTCCTAATGGAATCTAAACATTCCTCTCTGTTTATTCTTTCTTCAGGTGAAACCTGCGAATTCGACAGAGTCAGGACTGAGTGGACCCGGAAGCTGCACATTCTTCGGGAACATAAGTCCCAATGGTCCTTTTTCTCAAGCCCCTTCGCCGCCGACATTCACATTTCGTAAAGAAGACTCTTTGAGAGTGATATCGGCGGCGGCCGGAGAAGTCGCCAAGATCAAAATGGCGAATTTTGATGCGAAACCAAAACCCATCAGCCGCCCTGACCCCAGCCCTAAGTCCTCCTCTGTAGCCGCCGCCTTTCCTCAGAACGCGGCGTTTTACGACTACTACTGGAAGCCGCAAAACCATCACTACCATCCCGCTTTGAACTCCTCTCCTTACCCCGTTAGAGGCGCTTTCGCCGCTCCAAACGCCGACAAAAAGCCGTCTGCTGGAACCGGCGTTTTCCTTCCGAGGAAGTTCCCAGACACTTCCGATTCCCAGAAGAAAGCAGGTAACTTTACCCTAGTTTCCGTCGAAATTTAAGATCTTTCTCTCAATTTCTATTCCATTTTGGGAAAGCTAAATTGAAAAATTCTGGATTTCAGGAGGTAGATGTGCTAGGGTTCCGACAAAGGTGAAAGCCCCCAAAACTGAAAAACCCTCCGGTCGGTGTCAACCACAGTCGAAAGCTCGTCTTTCTACAGGAGGCAACAAAATCGGTACTAATTCAGACATTACTCAATCCTCAATAGTGATTTTAATCCGGTTAAAAAATCAGACATTTGAAGCTATCCGTTTGTTTTGCAGTATCTGGTGGCTGTGTCAAGGAAGAAAGGCATCATCTTCCACAAGAATGGAAGTACTGAGTAAATTAGGTTCTGTAGGATTCAGGACTTTTGAAATGATGAGAAGTGGCAGCAGTATAGTGGGTTAATTTATTGTTGAGATTGTGATGGTTACTGGTTACAGTAAAGAGTAATTGTGTGTGGGGGGTGATTATTAGTTTACCAGAATAACTTTTGGATCGGGAGGAGTGTTTTCATCTTCTCTTGTTTGGGTATAAGGTTTTATGTTTTTGTAGTTAGTACACAGCGAAATTCAAATGTCATCGTGTTGTAGTGAAACAACATAGCAAGAAAACTATATGTAACTTTTTGTTTTGTGATTTAATGAAGCAAAAGTTGTATTGAAGCAAAGTTGTAATGGAAAAGATTACACCTGAAAGTATTTCCCTGATTTTTTTTAAACGATGTTGAAAGTTTATGGCATTTATAATTTACATCTAAAACTATTTACATCTGATAGAATCAAACAAAAAATTAGCATTGAAAAAGTGGAAGCGGCAAAAAAGAAAGTTAGAACAGAGAGAATAAACAAAGGAGATAAGGACGTTTATGCTTAGACGTGAAGCAGTGGGCAAAGGAAATGCATTGTATTATTATTATTTTTTTGGTCAAAGGGTTGCATTGTATTATTATATGGACATAAATTTCATGTAAAATTGGGAATTTGGTTTGTGCTTATCACCTTATGCGAAATTGGGAAAGTTACTTTGCATATAAATCGCCTTATGCGAATTGGAGATAAGCACAAACCCATTAGATTCTTCAGTGATATGGAAAACGAAGTCTAAAAACAGATATAAATCCTCACACTATAATACTATAGCGTATTACCACAATATCGACCGTCATATTATGAGTCTATTACTCTTCAAACATCCCTAATCCGAAATCTGAACCACAATAAAGATTTGACTCGGCCACTTCCTGGCCCGTCTCAGATAATTTTTAATTTTTTCCATACTTAATCATTTTTCAGCGTTTTTACTCAGTTTTAGTCAAGTCAATGAAACATAAATGCATAACTTAGATAAAACGAGGTTCAAGCATATAATGAAAGTTCGTTATAAGCTAATAAAATCTGCTATAAGCTATTATATTGTTCTACTTGACTATAGTCTATCCAAGCCTAACATCCTTCCCTTCCTGCCTTAGTCCCGCGGTCCAGATCAGTTTCCTTCACGATCAAACTCAATACCTGCATTCTGCTTTCTGATCTGGACCGCGGGACTAAGGCATAAAGGGAAAGATGTTAGGTTTGGGTAGACTATGGTCAAGTAGAACAATGTAATAGCTTTTTTTCCTTGAAAATATGTTTTGCTTTTTGTATTTTAACCGACAAGTTTTAAAGCATTCATCAAACAGCACACATAGTCTGTTTTTGTTAGAGGCCTAAACATTCAAAATTTCAAATTAGGTCTTTGCTATCGGTAGGTATCATATCCAAAACCTTGTCATACTTTTTTCTAAAGATCTCTCTTAAACAGTAAAATACATTGGTAGAGTTACTGATACAATATTAAAAATCAGTAAATCAAGGGTCTTCAATATGTGAATTATTATTGGAATCTGTTCTTCATGATTTATAAAGTCAAAGGATTCTCATTAAGTCCAAAGCAAGATTGGTGGCAAGAAGACCATTATTTGATTTAGCTTAGTTTTCTCTTTTTCTTTAAATGTAAATAACTTAGTCTAAATATAATTTATTGTAAAGATTCTTTGTAAAATTTATAAAAGCTTATTGTTCTCATTGTAAAAAGATATAGAAATTTTTGGAAAATGAAAGAGAATTCTCTCTAAAAAGCTAAGGCTTTGTTACTTTGTTCATTAGAGATTGTGTGGAATCACTTCTCTTATGTTCGTGCGAGTTCTTGAGTGTTTTGTGGAATCAGACATTTGAGTTTTCGTGTTGTTTCTTACTGTCCATGCGAGGATGAGCCCTTGGAAGTTAGAAGCATAAATTGTTGCCTATGGAATCAGTCAACCATCTATCCATTCCATCCACTGATCAATCTGAAAGAGACCTTAGTCCAGCAGGATTGATCCCGCAACCATCCACTTCGATCATCTCTTGAGCAAGTAGAAAAAGACTTCAGTCCAGCTGCTTGCTTCCACCCATTCATCCAACCATTTATAAGATCAACCCATTCATCTTATATCGATTAAAATGTTGCTATTTCATACTTGAAAACATGATATATATAATTATAATCAGCTTCAGTTCTAGGAAACACTATTAACAAAAGTTTTCAATTAGTGTTATATTCCCATTTTCCATTGGAATAAGTGCTAATGATCGCTCAAAGTATTTATGATTATAAGATGCATATGTATGGACCTATAAAACATGGCTGGGAGTTTCTTTCGGCAAGGTTATAATTTCAATTAGGGTTCTCGCCCACAATAACTATATAACGTATCTAAGACGATGATGGTGTGCGTAAAGCAAAAGCCACCATCGATCTCGTTATCTGATGATTACTGACTTTAGATTTAACTTTACGCAATTAAATGATATTGTTTTCATTTTGAGTATCTTTTTGTTTAAGTACATATTAACATCAACGTCATTTGCCCTAGAGAGACTTTTTTGGGTTCCATTTAAATTTGTTTGTTTACAAGTGTTGAAGTTAGTAGGAAGCTCTTGCAAGACAAGCACCAAAACATATGGGTTAGTGCAAGAAATCATAAGCAAATCTCTCGACTGCTACAGACCCATTATAAAGTCTATCACCAAAACAAAGGTAAAACTATAAACTTTGAAAAACTAAAAATTAATTTTAGATTTTGTTTTTCCCCCACAGATGCAATGGATTCAGATAACAAACAGGAGACAAAAATACTTCTTATTCAGGAGGACAAGTGCACGGAAACGGTTGAATCTGCCTTGCTTTTTTTGTAGATCATGAAGATGCCATTTTGCTTGCCACAGCTTTGAAAAATCCACCATGCATCTCAAGAGTAGAGAACATGCACTGAAAGTAAGCATCATTTCCCTCTCTGCTTGTGTCAATACATTTGTCATTGTCTAAAACATTGTAGAGGAAAGTGCAAGAATAAGAATAATGAAGCTGCAGTTGATTTTTTCCTTCTTGAATACTGCTACGTACTACCAAGGTGACGAAGCAATCAAACGCAAGTGAAGAAGAGCATATTTCCCACGGGATATTGTTGTTCTTCTCTAAGGCATTTCATATGGTCAACGGTTTTTTTGGGTTTAACTAATATATATATATATATATATATATATATAGTACTTATGTTTATTTTCAACTCTAGTTTTTAAACTTTAAGTTAGCTAATAACCGGATAGTGTGTCCGATTAGGGTTTGTCATCAAATAATTAATAATGTGAAAATTTAAACACATTCACTTTGGAGTAGACAACCAATCTATCACTTTTAAGGAAATAAAAATGTTTGCAGTTTTTTTCGTTTTCTTATGTAAAATTTGCGTATTGCAGAACTTGAATTTTTTTCCCCTTCAAGATATTATTAAAAATTAAGAGTGAACCCCAGGTATAAGAACAATAACAGAGGAAAGCCATTAAAAACAGAGTAACGTAGAACAGAGTTTCTTGAATGGCGCCAATCATATCCTCCTCCAATTGTCAGTTTGTCACTTGGGCCACTTATCTTGGCCCGTCAAAGTGGGCCGACCAATATATATTAACTTGTTCTTCCTAAACGGGCCCAACTCATCAAAAGAGAACTGAGAGACATACCTAAAGATTTGGTTTACAGACTTCTTCAGTCCAAGAGTTTGTCTTCTGTTGAAAAACTTGTCTGAAGCAAATAACTGCAAAACACAACACAAATTTGTCAAGCTATTGATAATATATTCGAAGACGCTTGTAAAAATAAAGTTAAAGCTGTCCACAAAGTGAATATATATGTCACAGAAGATTTTACACCAGGCTTAAAAGTCCAAGACTCTTTGGCATTCAATAGCATCATTTTGTGTATAGTCGCATTGTTACCTTCTTCTCTTTTTTTCTTTCATTTAATTATGTTTTTTGAGTAAGTTGAATCACCTATGTAATCCGACTCATCTTACCTAACTAAGTAATTTTTAAAAAAATAAAAAAGGGACAGTCATTTGCAATAATCTAATAAGAAAGGACCGTTATGCTTATGCATATTAAACGTCCAAAAGGACAGTGTCACAGTCATGCGTTACTCTCGAATTTCACCGGCTTTTGTCATATTATTTTGAATCTAAATTTTTACACAAATGACAAAACCAATATTTAAAGTTATCATATATTATTTTATTTTTTTTATATAAAAAGGGCTAGTTATCATATATTATTATAAATTTATTTTGTATATTACTACTCTTCCATTGTACTGAGAGTTTACACAAGAAATCATATACATCCTGATAATCTCTCAAAAAATAGAGTTGAGAAGAACAAAAATGGAAGAGAGAAAAGGGAGGAGAATAATCATGTTCCCTTTTCCGTTTCCGGGACACTTCAACCCAATGATCCAACTCGCCGGAATATTCCACCACCGTGGGTTCTCTGTAACGATCCTCCACACATCTTTTAACTTCCCCGATCCTTCTCAACATCCACACTTAACTTTTCGAGCCGTCCGTCACAACAACGTAGGAGAAGCAGAAGATTCTTTGTCTCAGTCAGAAACTTCGAGTATGGACCTCGTCTCTCTCATTCGTCTGCTGAAACAAAAGTACACCGAACCGTTTCGTGAGTCTCTTGCGGCGGAAGTAGGCGGAGGAGAGACGGTGTGTTGTTTGGTCTCCGACGCTATCTGGGGGAGGAACACGGAGGATGCGGTGGAAGAGGTTGGAGTTCGTAAGGTTGTGTTGAGGACAGGTGGTGCGGCGTCGTTTTGTGCTTTTGCTGCTTTCCCTCTCCTTAGAGATAAGGGCTACTTCCCTATACAAGGTAAATAATACTTTTTTATATCTTTCAACTTCTATTTTATTTTGTTTTCTTACCAAAAACTTTTGGCTGCATAGTTCCAATCTACGTTTTGGTTGGTGGCCACACAAGAAAATTATATGAAAACATAACAACGACGAAATTGAGTGAGATAAGTACGAAATTGAGAATAGACAAAATTTGATGAATGAAAAATTGTAAAGACTTTTTTCTCTGGATTAGGCAACCAATCTATGATTTTTATTTTTAGTTTAATATATGTTTGATAAAATAACAGAATGAGATCTATTTTTTCGCAATGTATTTCTCATTGTAGCTGTAATAACTTTATGCACAAACATGTTATTTTCTTTCTTGAAATTTTATAGCACTATATATTAAAGATTTATAATATATTCTATTTCTCCAGATTCTAGATTAGATGATCCAGTGATAGAGCTTCCACCATTGAAGGTGAAGGATCTTCCCATAATAGAAACAAACGAGCCGGAGGAACTATACCGAATAATAAACGACATGGTGGAAGGAGCCAAGTCTTCATCTGGAGTCATATGGAACACATTTGAAGATCTTGAAAGACTTCAACTCATGGATTTGAGCAGCAACTTCAAAGTTCCCTTCTTCCCAATCGGACCATTTCATAAACATAGCGACGATCTTCTGTCGAAGAGCAAAGAAGACAATGTAACAACTGATTGGCTCAACAAGCAAGACCCGAAGTCAGTGGTCTATGCGAGTTTTGGAAGCCTTGCGGCTATAGAAGAGAAGGAGTTTCTCGAGATTTCTTGGGGTCTAAGAAACAGCGAACAGCCATTCTTGTGGGTGGTTAGGCCCGGGATGGTCCGAGGGACTGAGTGGCTCGAGTCATTGCCTTGTGGATTTATGGAAAGCATTGGACATAAAGGGAAAATTGTGAAATGGGCGAATCAATTAGAGGTGTTGGCGCATCCTGCGGTTGGAGCGTTTTGGACGCATTGTGGATGGAACTCGACGCTAGAAAGCATATGTGAAGGTGTTTCAATGATATGTACTCCGTGTTTTACGGACCAGCTTGTGAACGCGAGGTACGTTGTTGATGTATGGCGAGTCGGGATGATGTTAGAGAGGAGTAAGATGGATAAGAGAGAGATTGAGCAGGTAGTAAGAAGTGCATTGACATATAAAGGAGATGGGATGAGAGAGAGGTCCTTGGACTTGAAAAAAAGGGCTGACATTGGCTTAGGTAAAGATGGGTCTTCGTCAAACTATTTAGACAAACTTGTGAGACATGTCTTGTCTTTTGATTCATATGCTTTTGCAAGTTAGAAAAAAATTACAAAGTAGCAATGTTTTAAGCTCTCATCAAACTTTTGGATGTTCTGTTTTTTTTTTTTTCCCTTCTCTTGAAATAATAATGTTGGTTGTGTTAGTTCATCCTTGTGAAAATGAGTATTACATTTAGGGATGGCAAAATTAATCAAACCAAAGATGATTTGAATGTTAAAACTTAAAACCAAATTGATCCGGCTATATTGTTTCTTTCTAAATCGAATCGTGACATTAACCAAATAAAACTGAAACTGAGATTCTAACGTTTGAATCAACCGTATACAACACAAACCAATATCTATAGTTAATACTATCTCACCATCTATAATACTTTCTATTTTGTATCTTTGGTCTCTAATTATACTGGAGTTTTCTTATCATTTTTTTTCCCATTATGGTCGGGTCCCCAAGCCTACGTAATCCCATTATCAAAACTTGGAGAGTCGTGCTCGAGTAACCTGCTTGCCCAAGTGGTTCTTGATCGGCGGTGTAGTAAAATTTAAACACATATCAACAACAAATCAAACATATTCTCAAACTTTCCAATATTAAAAAAAAGGAAAACAAAAGAAGTAAAAATGGAAGAGAGAAAAGGGAGGAGAATAATCATGTTCCCTTTACCGTTTGCAGGACACATCAACCCAATGATCAAACTCGCCGGGATATTCCACCACCGTGGCTTCTCCGTCACGATACTACACACCTCCTTTAACTCTCCCGATCCTTCTTACTACCCACAGTTCACTTTTCGAACCATCCATCACAACAACGAAGGAAAAGAAGAAGACCCTCTGTCCCCACAGGATTCGGGCATGGACCTCGTCGCCTTCATTCGTCAGCTGAGACAAAGTTACGCCGAGCCGTTTCGTGAGTCTCTGGCGGCGGAAGTAGGCGGAGGAGATACGGTGTATTGTTTGGTCTCCGACGTTGTTTGGGGGAGGAACACGGAGGTGGCAGCGGAAGAGGTTGGAATTCATAGAATGGTGTTGAGCACAAGTGGTGCGGCGTCATTTTGTGCTTATGCCGCTTACCCTCTCCTTCGAGATAAGGGTTACATCCCTATTAAAGGTAAATACATTTGTTTGATTGGCTAGAAATTGATTCTAAATGAAATAAAAGTAGCTAGATCATGACCCCCCAAAAAAGAGAGTTAGATTTGCGCCATATGCTCAATATATTAGGTCATCATCTAGCTATTTATATATTCATTACGTTATTTAATATATTTTTTAAAGTCTTTATTTAATATCATATCCATTATGTTTATTTATAATAATAATATGGGTGATGATAGTGTAACATATCAGATTTATAATCTTATCACAAAACAAATGTTATTCAGTGAAAGCTAATTTCCCTTTTTAACTTGCTAAGTGAAAAAAATAGATAGAGGATTTACATCATCGGTCGTATTTGATTGTATAATAAATTAAAATTAGAGTATGATAAATTCATATGGAAGATTAAGATTATAGCTGCAATTGTTTCAAACGAAAAATTTCTGATTATAAAAGTGACTATTTACCTAAAGATAAAAATATCAAATTCAAAAAGATATGTTTATTCTAATACTTAGCAATCAAAAAATTGCCTAAAGTAACCAATATAGAGAGTGTATTTACTTTGATAGAGAACCCTATACTAACTATAATATAAGAACATGTAAAAGCAAAGGAGTATTATTCAAAACAATGAATCGAAAGCTAAATAGTTATATGTATTTCTTTTGCTCAAGATTCTAGATTAGATGAGCTGGTGACAGAGCTTCCACCTTTAAAAGTAAAGGATCTTCCGGTAATGGAAACGAATGAGCCGGAGGAACTATTCCGGGTGGTTAACAACATGGTGAAAGGAGCCAAGTCTTCTTCAGGGGTCATATGGAACACATTCGAAGATTTTGAAAGACCCTCGCTTATGGATTTGAACAGCAAGTTAAAAGTTCCGATCTTCCCTATTGGACCGTTTCACAAACATAGCGACAACTTTTCACCATCGACAAAGAGCACAGAAGACAATGTAACAACCGACTGGCTCAACAAGAAAAACCCGCAGTCTGTGGTATACGTGAGTTTTGGAAGCCTTGCGGATATAGAAGAGAAGGAGTTTCTCGATATTGCTTGGGGTCTAAGAAACAGCGAGCAGCCGTTCTTGTGGGTGGTTAGGCCGGGGCTGGTACGAGGGACCGAGTGGCTCGAGTCATTGTCTTGTGAATTTATGGATAACATTAGTCATAAGGGGAAAATTGTGAAGTGGGTGAATCAGTTAGAGGTATTGGCGCATCCTGCGGTTGGAGCGTTTTGGACACACTGTGGATGGAACTCGACACTAGAGAGCATTTGTGAAGGTGTTCCAATGATATGTACGCCCTGCTTCACGGACCAGCATGTGAACGCGAGATACATCGTTGATGTATGGAAAGTCGGGATGATGTTAGAGAGAAGTAAGATGGATAGGAAGGAGATTGAGAAGGTAATAAGAAGTGTAATGATAGAGGAAGGAGATGGAATAAGAGAGATGTGTTTGAAGTGGAAAGAGCGAGCTAACGTTTGCTTAAGTAAAGATGGCTCTTCTTCCACGTATTTAGAAAAACTTGTGAGTCATGTCCTGTCTTTTGATTCATATGCTTTTGCAAGTTAGAACATTTTAATGAGCTACGTACGTAAGTGTAACTGGAACATTATATGTAGGGATGGGAAATAAATTCGAACAAAACCAAATGAAGCTGAACTTGAGATTCTAAAGTTTTAATATATATTGAATATGAATCACGTAATGAAGATTCCTAGCTAATTCCGTTGGAGGATTCATTCGAAGAAACTTTTTTTGTTTTTATAGTTGAAATTAGTTAGGAATCTCCATTACGTGATTCATATCCAATATATATATTATCGTTTATCAGTCAAATATAATGGTTTGCATGCATCAGTATCATTGCCATATCTCATCAACGATATTCAATTTTAGTGGTGTTACTGTTGTGTATGTGAACTCTTTAATTAGTCGTCATTTTTCTTTTTTTAAAGAGTTTTGTTAGGTTTAAACTTTTTGAAAAATGTAAACATTTAGGAATGTATGTTTGAACAAAAACGGACTGAACTAATTTTTTAAAAAATTGAATAGTTCTACACATTTACAAGAGTCGCTAATATAGGAGGAGGTAATTTGGCAAAAGAAAATATGTTTGCACATGAGTAGAAAGTTGAAGATTTTTTTACTTCATACTGGAAGCTTAAGATAACATATGTCGATGTTGGTCTCAATTTTTACCCCCGAAGAAAAACAAATTATGGTTTTTGATAACTTTCTTTTATATTAGACTAAACAAAAATACAGGAGATTTTAGATTTATATGAAGGCCAATTCGGCGCGGGACAAAACACGTGAGAGAAAGACAAAACCCACGTGCGAAAGAAGGCAAACCTTGTTATGGGAATACTTCAGTTCCTGCGCTCGTGTCAGCTCCATTAACCATCCGCAATCAGCGACACAATGGTCGGAAACTTTTGATTTTTCTAGTCAGTTTTTTAATTTTATTTATTATTAAACTTTTATCTTATCTGATATAAGCTACAAATGTTCATTTGGAAAAGAAAAAAAAACTGGTTGGCAAAGGAAATGTTTTGTAAATCTTAATTAGTTCTTATTGAATCTAACTTGAATAGGAGATATCTAAAGATAATATAAGGTGACTTATTGTCACATCAAACTTTAAAAAAAAAACTGTAGATTAGTTCGTAAGCTGGTATATTTTCCTATCACATAATAGCCTAACTTTACTTATGGTGTTAATAAGCTTTGTTGGTTATCTTCTTGACCACGCAGACCTCATCTTTTAAGCAATTAAAAAAGTCAATAAACAAATTAAAGACATCGTTAGGATCTATTCAGTTTAACTAATTTTGCTGTTGTCTACAAAGCTAATACACTATATTCCAAATCTAAACTTAGAATATTCGGCGGCGGCACTAATACAAACAAATAAACTTCGATAAATTTTAAGAGGACAATAACTAAGGGAGGTTGCATTTTCATATGGAGTATGGTCATGTTTTGATACTTAAAAGTATCAAATTTCCATCTACGAATTTGTGTGGTTACTGATTTGCTAGTTTATTCCAAGATATAAAGGACGTTTCAAATTGTTATGAAATTATCGACTGTGAATCCATGATAGCACGTTTACATTACACATCGTCATCGTTAATAACTCTAGCTTGTTAAAAGAGAACCAAATATTTTGAAACCGACTAGCACATTGTTAGGGAGAAAGTCGACCAAGAATGCTCAAAGCTCTTAATATGTAAATTGAAAATATCAATAAAATGATGTGGTGACCAAATCTCCCTTCCTTAGTTACTTAATTTGATACTTTTACTGGAAAGATAGATCTTCGTAACACAAATGTATCCTCTTGAGTTTAGTACTAACTTAAATAAGATTATACAAGAATTACTTAAGTACTAACTTTATTTTGCATAGCTAAATCCATAATGGCCTTAACATAATAATCTTTTTTGAGTATTTTCATCTCTTTTCTGTTTTCCTCTCTTCTCTCTTACTTTCCTATTCTGCTAATGTATACTAAAATGCCCACTCTTGCAACATATAAATACCACTTTCATAAAGTATTTGACCGACAATTTTTACCAATCAATAACTATTAATGAAACATACTATTATAATGAAGTCACATATGTTTTAGAGACGTTGAACTATCGTAACAAACCTTACCTGTAGAATCTTTAAAATATCAGGTCTAGATTTTGTTCCGGATTTTCCATATCAGTTTTTTTTTTTAATTTTGTTCTCAAGAACGGATCTTTATTCTACTAATGAGTTGTGCAGACAAATTGCATATCGGAAAAATGATTCCCAACAGCGTGCATGTCATGATTATTCACTAATAATGCAAATGTAGTATCTATACGATACAGTGCTTCTGTGGAAAAAAATCAAAAACATTGTTATGATCATATTTAATAGATTGAACTCAACTGATGCATGATGAATGCAACTAATGGACACATACATTTATATAGTATTAATTTGAAAGAAAAAGAAGGATTTGATTTGTTTATGTAACCGTAACGGCAAGCAAATCAAAATTAAAAGGAAATATTAATAGTCGGTCTGAAAATACGCCGTCAGCCACGTTCGGCCGACAATTAATTTCCCAATCTCTTCATTATCCATTTCTCGTCGTTTTTCTACAAATTCATTATATGAAAATTTGTAGTATAATGTAAGTCTAGATGTGTTAAATTAAATCTCGTCTCTTACAACTTACAAGTCACGTCCCTCGTGAATCTCAATAAAATTATCACATCTCTTAGGGAATACAATTTCAAGTTATAAGATAGTACTTCGTATCACGTCATCTTTTTTCTCATTAGGGGTAACTTAAAGCAAAAAGTTAACAACATTGGGAATTTTTTATAAACTTCTTTACTTAATTCATTTGCAAGACTAACTAATTCATAAAGTAAAACCAATATTCATTGAACCTTATGCAGCACAGAATGAGAAAACATTGCACTTAGAAGTCTAAAGAGGAGACCCCCGGATAAAAGGAGACGCACGATCTTGCCAAATCAACATTTCTTGGTTTCCATTGACTATAGTAGTTAGTTCCTTTTTAACAAAGATATATATTATGAGCCGGTTTAAGCTAAGCAACTCAAAAAAGAATAAAGATTTCACATTGACTTTTTGTGATTAATAAAATGACATGATTAGTATTTTTTTCGGCGAGATACCAAACATCAAAAAGAAAATCAAAGCATGGTGAGAAAATAGGACTAATCAATCATTACCTGTGATCTACACATATAACTCACCAATTGGCAACTGAGACTAGATTGTTTTGTAACAATGTTAATAATATTGTAGCAAAGAAAATCCGTGACTTAAAATCATTGTTACAAAATCGAAAACTTCAACGAGGTCACAATTATTTATCATCAGTTAAAGGTAAGACAACCGTTGAATTCTAATCTGCGTTTAGATCGGCGCCGTATATATATTGAGCACGACTATTATTTAAAACACACAAAAAATACATTGACGCATTACATTGAAGATTAAACTGCACCAAAGGACATAGTCTTCTTTTACCGATTAAAAGCCTAACATAACTTTTCACCTGTTTTTTAGTCAAAAATATATTGTTAAGCGGAAAGGACAAGCTCAAATGCATTTCGTCATTCACGACAAAAATAAATAAATTATTGTATCTCTTTCTTTTAGTGGAAATTTATATCACTCCTCCACCAAAAGCAAATATTTTAATATTCAGTTGTTATTCGATAGAGCGCAAAGGGAGACATGAAGCGTGCGAACACGACAACACACAAATAGTATCAGATCGGCTTCGGTCGGTTGGTCATCTCTATTTCTCTAATGTATTTTTTCATATATATAAATCGCCAACCCATGAGCTTTCAATTCAATATCTCATAATATATTGAACCCTTTCATCTCCATAAGGCTATTGTAACCAAAGAGAGAAAAATTCAATTATCTTTAACATTCCGGCAATCCCTTTTCTCTTCGTTTATTTCAAGAAAATGAGAACGCTTTGTCCTAATTTCGACAGAGAAGACGGTTTAGAGACGGTGTTGGAAGTACCGATGCCGGAGGAGTTGTTCTGTTCCGACAGCAACAACAAGAGCGGCGCTTGGCGAAGCGTCAAGTCTAGTTTGCTCTGGTCACCGCCGGATAACAATAGCAGCCTCGCCACTCTTTTCGGCGGCCGCGATGCTCAGATTCAGATGCTTCTTGGAATCGTTGGAGCTCCGTCGATCCCTCTTCCTCTCTCCTCCGGTCACGACGTTCTTGATCATCCCATCTCCAATCTCATCAAAAACCAATCTATTGTAAGTAAATATATCTACTCTTTGTTTGCTTTTGTGTTTCTGAATATAATAAGCTTTTTTTTTCAAAGTGAAATCCCAATATTTGATATTGTTTACAATTTCATTTTTCAAAAGTATTTAGAAACTGATTCATTTTTTTTAAAGTTTTCTTTTTTCATATATGTAAATGCATGAATTAGTGTAACTTGAGCGACAAGTTTTCTCATATTGCTTTTCCTCTGTTTTTGGGTAATAATAGGAAGCAGCCATGGCCAAGTACATCGTGAAGCAATACACTGCAGCAGCTGGAGGAGAGGCGGCATTGGCTGGAGTAGAAAGCATGTACGCGATGGGAAAGGTTAAAATGGGAGTGACCGAGTTTTGTGCAGCGAAAACCCTAATTGGAAAGAGGAAGAAGAAGATGGTGAGGATCAGAAACGTCAACAACGGAAACGGAGGAGAGATGGGTGGTTTCGTGTTATGGAAGAAAGGTTCGAGTCAATGGAGTTTAGAGCTCGTGGTTTCCGGTTGCAAAGTCAGTGCCGGTTGTGATGGTAACGTGGCTTGGAAGCAAAGTCCTTGGCTGGCACATTCTCATGCTTGTAATGAACCTTCTGGACCACTTAGAAGATTCCTTCAAGGGCTTGATCCAAAAACCACAGCAGATTTGTTTGCGGGATCGGTTTGCATGGGCGAGAAAGCGGTTAACGACGAAGAATGCTTTGTGCTTAAGCTCGAAACGCAGCCTTCAGGGCTTAAATCAAGAAGCAAGAGCGGTATAGAGACGGTGAAGCATACCGTGTGGGGATGTTTTAGTCAAAGAACAGGACTTTTGGTCCAGTTAGAGGACACTTACCTCGTACGGATCAAGACTGGTCCAGAAGAAGAAGATATGGTCTTATGGGAAACGACTGCTGAGACAATGATCCAAGATTATAAGAGCGTTGATGGGATTCAGATCGCTCACAGAGGAAGGACACGTGTCTCATTGTTGAGGCATGATGAGAGCTTAGAGAGGCATTCAAAGACTACAATGGAAGAGAGTTGGGAGATTGAAGAAGTGGGTTTTAATGTGAAGGGTTTGTCTTCTGATTTCTTCTTGCCTCCAGGTGACTTGTGTACCAAGGAAGATGAAGAAAGTGGGTTTGATTTCGGAGATTATAGTAGTCCTATGCTGCTTCCATTGAAGGTTAGCACAGATTCGTGGAAACTCAAGTCCTCTAAAGTCACAGCTATGGAAGATTTTGGGGAATTTGAGGGATAAAAGATGAAGACTTTTCAGGATATATTTTTGTTATTCGTAAATTGATCTTCATTTTTATTGTTTTGTAAATATGTGAAAAAATTATGGAGAAAAGTGCTTGTAAATAACATCATGAAGAATATAGCAAGCAAGCCTTTTTCCTCTTCTCTCTCGAGTTTGTAAATTTTACAATTTTTTCAACTATCTCTAGTTCAGTAATCAGTAGTTCTCTCTCGAATTGATTACACTAAGAAATCACAATACGAGTTCTCCAAGTCACGAATTGTGAACATTTTTCTAACATTTTTAATTGGAATCCAGTCACAACACATTTAAAGTTGTTAAGTCGAAGTACAGAAAGAAACATGTGAGAGAAAACGAATAAGATAAAATCGATTTCAATCAATGTCTATATCTATGATTTGGATTTTATGTATGTATAAGAGAGTCGAAGTTGATCAAAATGTTGAAATGATCATTACAGACTCTCTGTTGTAACCTCTCTTCCCTCAAATCCGAATCAAAAGATCAGAAGAAAAAAACCCTCGACAAGTCTGGTACTTATCGACATGAGGATCATCATCCATGTGCGTTCAAAACGCAAAGAATGAAAAAGAAAGGGTAAGATGAATCTCATCTGAATCCCTTCTACAGAGTTTTTCAGCTTCTTGCACAGAAGAAATCTCGTCTAGGCATCATTCCATTGAACTTGATTCGAGGGTCAAAAAAACCGAAACTATCAGTCTTCAAACTCTGTTCTGCTTCTCTGACAATGGTACTATTGTCAAGGCCACTCTTTATCCACGCAATGTTGTTCAAATCAGTCGCTATAGATATCAGTTCTTGGTTGAAAACTGCACGAGGCTCTTCGTAATCCACAAACTCCGGTCCCAATACCGAGTCAGGGGAGAACTTGGCTCCAGCAGAGCAGCAACCATGCCCACATCTCGAAGGGATGTGAGGTTCATCGCAGAGAGACTGTAGAAATTTACCAGCCAGTGAATCCGGTTTAGCCGCTTGGATCAACGGTCCTTCACACGGAACTATATTGTGGTTCCTGTACCTGTTTCTCTGGCTGGTTGGGTTATAGACGCTGAATGCGCCAACACGAGCCACGGGACGAAACACGTGACTGTCTATCGGAGCGTTACTCTCTACCGGAGCTTCTTCTTGAGGAGGTTCATTAGCTGAATCATCCATTGTAACATCATTAACTTGTGGTGATGAAACGACATCTCCTTGAGGATAAGTTACTCCGTCTACATTTTCGCTCTTGATGTGAGCGGTGGTAACTTGATTCGCCATCCACTGACTGTTATTCCACAGATCTGCGTATTTGCGTCTGAGCGTTGAGTTCCAATGGTTCTTGATAGCGTTATCTGTTCTTCCGGGTAACATTTTCGCAATCACGGCCCATTTGTTCCCGTGGATCGCGTGAGCAGAGATTATCATACGATCTTCCTCATCTGCAGCAAGATTTCAAAGAGGAAAGTTATAAGAAAAGCATCATCAATTCAAGAAATCGCACAGAGACAACCTACTACATCTGTGACACAGCTAAAAGATTACAATCACTGAGAAAAAGAAGAGAACTTTCTAGATTTTCACTGAATTGCAACAGAACAAACAATATTTCAGTCACAAGAAAACAGTCTCACTCTCATCACTTCACAATCTCTACCACATTGGAATCAGAATTTACAATTACCAACAAAAACAAAGGAAAATCCAAGTAGAAACGCCTCATGAAACAAGGATTGGGATGAAGATTCATGAATCAATACGAACATTTCCAGAACAACACTAAAAGCTAAACCAAATTGGGAGCCAAAATCCTCTGGGAAACCCGAGAGAATCAGAAGAAACGAAACATACAAAAACCCAGAAAGCAGGGAATCTAAAATTTAGATGTTAAAAAACGAACAAATCGAGGGTTTTTGTAAACTAACCAGAGAAAGGCTTACGCTTGAGACAAGGGTCAAGCTGATTACACCAACGCAATCGACAAGATTTCCCAGAGCGGCCAGGGATTCCACGAGCGATCAAGCTCCAATTCCTCGGGCCTAACTTGCTCACAAGCTTCGTGAGCACCGCGTCCTCCTCCGTAGACCAGGGTCCTTTCACTTTGCTCTTAATTCCTCCTCCGTCTCCGCCACCGCCGCTTGAATCTCCGGCAGCTAACTCGGCGAGCTCCGACTCAATCGCAGAGCTGATTCCTTCATCCGAATCGGCGGAGGGTAAAGGTAACGGCCCCGATCGATTAGTTTCTCCTTCCATTTTTTTTGTTTTTTTTTTTTTGCCAAAAACGAATTAAATTTTGAAAAGAAGAAAATGACTTTGGGTTTGTACCTGCTTTCTTAACTGCAAAAAGCTTAGTGGGAGGTTTATTAAGGAGCCTCTTCCTTTTTTTCTTTGGTGGTTCGTTATCAATTGTTTTTTTTTTTTTTTCTTCTCGTGAGAAGGCGGTCTGGTTCTGTTATTAAATTACCATTTTACCCTTTGCTTCCCCGGTTTTCCATAACGGCCCAGTCTGTTATGTGTCATCATATTCATTTAGTCAGAGTCCAGCTTTTTATTAATTATTTTGGTCAATTCACTGCTTCTAGTCTTACAATTTATGTTTCTTCTTTGGTAATTTTTTTAAAAAATGAGAACACAAATAAATTGTTTAGTTTTAAAGTTACTTTTTTTTCAACAACAACCAAAATGTTATGTTTTATGTCAAAAAAAAAAAAAGTGATTTGGCTAAATGTTAAAATTATGAGATTTTTTAATAAAGTTTGGAAAGTGATAAGTTTGAACATAAAATAGAGAAGATAAAAATGCTGATTTTTTGAAGTAATTTATGTGAGGTTTTATAAGTTATCCAACATTTAGATTAGTAGGAAAACACGTATTTTTCATATGGCTGAAAGCGCAAGTGTGTGTCATCAAAAAGAGTTTTTAATGATTAAATTAAAACGTTGAATCTGAAATTTAATAGTATGTTTTTTTGATAAACATATCAGTTACCAGATGATCTTGTTTTGGAAAGTGCGCTCAAATGCTTTGCAAAATATTCTGATGGAGCTTAAAAAGTATTATGAGAAGCTAATTTTGTTAATACAAATTATACCGAAACTTCCGGGCATTGGCGGTGGCTTTTTATAAATTAAAGTTCGATTTAAGTTTATGATGGAAAAAATCATGGATTGTCGCAACACTAAGGCCCAATTATAAAATAAGGTGAATCGAATCAAGGCCTTTTGGGCTTTGCTAATGCGAATGTGAAGTTGAACCGAACCCTTCAAATTTAGGTCCTAAGCTTGTTAAGACTATTGTTTCCTTCGCTTATGCTATATTGCTATGAACCAAACTTGGAAAGAATACTAGGTATATAATTCGCGCAACGCGCAAGTTTTTATTAATATTTTAGTTTATTTTTTTTAGCTATTATCTTTAAAATTATTAAAAATATAACATATTTATAAAAAAATCATTTATATAAGAGAATTTAATATATAATATGTAATTTATCTTATTTTTATTTATAAACTTTAAAAAAATATTAGGTAAAATAATAACAATGACATCTATCAAATTATCTAACTTTGACATACATAAACATTTGATTTAGAGAAATATAATTTTGCTAAGATTTTGGTATTATTTTCTGTTTTCCATATAATTTTTATAGTTATTTTTTTCTTGAAGGTTTATGTCTTCAAATATTTAATTTTTTATTAAAAATCTTATTAATGTTGTGTATCACTGCATATATAATCCATAATTCATGTTGATTCGCATTTAATTTTGTTAGGAAGCTGTAATGATCATGCAAAACTATTTTTTCCTTCTCTATCATATCTTCCAAGAGTTTTATGTTATATTTTTATTCAGTTTTCATTATTTTAATTGTTAAATCGAGTTGTTGTGGATTTTTTTGAATTGGTAATTGATAATTGTTACCTTTTTATACATATATTGTTAATTGTTAATTGTTAATTTTTCTTATTTAACTTTTAAATTTTTAAACCATATTAACATTTTCTGATTTTATAAATATGTTGATTTTGATTAATCAAATTGAATTTACTTTTTTTTGTTGGACATAATTTGTTAAATTAACTTATAATGTTTTAATTATACTTAATAATTTTTGGTTTGATTTAAAAGCTGATGTGAACCAATTAAATTAATTTTTTCTGTCATAATCATACTCAACATTTTTTTTATTTAATGAATGTGTTGATGTAGACTAATCAGATTGAGTTTCTTAATCCGATGTGGACATCCTCAATGCACTATGCCATCAACTTTTATATGATTATATGATTGTTTTGTACATATTATGATGACGTGTTCTTGCATTCCATGTGTAAACGACATTCTACATACATCATTTGTTAAGCAACTTCACCATATTATCGAAAAAACTGGAATTTGTTTGGTCTAACTCTTTATGTTAGTGTTCTTTGTCCTTCTTTCTTTCTTTTTTTTAACACACTTGAACCCATAAAACTCATCATTACTAGTCACACTTTAGATCTCCACTCTTTACTACGCTTCACCATCAAATTCAAAAATCCTTTAACTATAATCAAATTTCCTAACTATACACACTTATTAATTCCTTACATAAGCATAATTACATATAAGTCAGTCGTACCTCGTGGTGTAGCACGAGGAAAATGAACGCGACTTGTGATAGATACGTCTAATCGAAGCAGTCGCAGTGACGACATAAGCGATAACGACGGTGTAGAAATTTATGCCTTGTGTTTGCATGACTTTTCAACTAATTAATTATAGCTTTATATTATCATAGAATTAAAACGATTTGAAATATATTAATCGTTCGGTTAACCAAAAAAAAAACTGGTAAGTTTAGTTAATGTGTTTATTGGGAAAGTTACGTAACATACAAGTCAATGGTTTGGACCGAAGAGAAAACGACACGAGCGTCGAGTCATACATACTCCTGCCCTAAAATTAGGACAATCGAATTTGGAAAGACAACGACCTTGTCTTCTATTTATTAGACACTGCGTTAATGTTTCCACGTGCTATTAATACCTTCTTATCAACTCTTGACACTTTCGTTTAGGTTCAAATCATTTTGAAAAGGAACAGTAAATGCTTACTCGATATATCACGCTAAACTCCACAACCAAAGAGATTGATCATATAAGTCAAGCCTCTACGTGAAATATAAAAAAATATCCATTCAATCTCAATAATAAGAATTTGAAACTTCACTTATCGATAAGTGGTAGCAAATTTGTGGACTCGTCGCCGCACATGGGTTTTCGTGTAAATTATAGTCAAATAATTTTATTGTAGTCATTATTAAATTTTGAAAAGTTAACATGTTTTTAGTTTTTGTTAAAAAGGTTTACTGTATAATGTACATAGTGAGGAGGAGTTAGATAAAGTTATCTTTGTTAGAAAGTAAATCACAAAATGGTCCCCGTCGAATTCTTAGCTAGCTTTTGAATGATACATTTAATAGATCATTCCGTTTTCTGACAAAAGTGTTTCCCTCATTTCTTTTCTAACCAACACACATTTATGTACATATATATATATACGAATGTAATATATATTGAACTTTTCCGATAAACAGTTCGAGACGAATGTCACACTTATGCTCAGCTTCCCATGCATGTCTAATTAGAAGGCTAATTCATATGGTTTTTTCAGCTTTGTTAACTTCTTAATGATTCAGACCCACTTACGAATCTTATTAATTACTGTTATTCAGTTAGTGAAAAAAAGAATTTGGTAACCCTAAGTTTTCTTACCAAATTGATATAAACAAAACCGATGAAAGTGTGGAGTGACGCAAATACCTAAAGAGTTGAGAGGTGCAAGCATTGATGCAAAGAAAGTAGGTCCATGACAGTTGGTGCCTTCTTATTCAACTTGTCCTTATTTCGTTTCTCCACTCAAAACTCTTCAACATGGATGTGCTCAATAATAATAATTAATTAACTGCATACAGAAAATTAAAACCATACATGGAGTTGGAGGTAGTCTTCTAGGAAGAAGAAAAAAAGTTACAATATACATCATTCACTAAGACTTCTTTCAGAATTGGAACTATTGTTTTCGAGTTATATAGCTGAAATCAGTTCAACTGATTATTGTTTCGGGTAGTTATTGAGTCTAATATTTTGGTATATAATGGGTTAGCAAAAAAGTTAACGAATTTGGGAGTAGTTAACAACCAAATTCAAGTGTATCAAAACCAATATATACCTATGTAAAAATTGAATATGAAATATATAAAAATAATGAGTTGTGATGGGTGAGGACGAAATAAGGAGATGGAAAGAACGACAAAGAGGTGTGCGGAACTGGGGTTGGTGTCCAACAAAGAAGAGACATCTAATATTATGTTCTCTACGTTGGGATCTTTTCTAAGTGACCCACTTTTGTTTTGCTGTCTTATGTATATCTCACTTCCATGATTTCATCTATCTACAACTACAAACCATGCATCCCCATTTTACCCTACCATATGCTCTACATCCATACGTGCGTGTGCGTCTCCAAATACTTACACTTTATATGATCGATATGTTATTCATATATATACATCATACATGTTATATGATTTTTTTTTTTATATATAAAAAGAATGAAAGAAGAGAAGTGGTTAAGGATCATACACTACTTCTACTGCAATTGCTTGTTTCAATTTGTGTTTGTGATCTCACTCTCTTCCGACAACCAATCATTATTTTTTTTTGAAAAGTTTGTACACATATTGGCTATGTGTAATCCCCGTTAGTTTTATCTCCACTTGTACCGCCCGTAGGGTTTGTTGAGAATCAATTCCCAATGTATCTTACAGTTTATCTGACAAAACATCTCTAATTTTAAACTTTTGACAAAAAAATATATATATATCAAATTGAAAAATACATTTTCTGACCTAATTCGATATTTAAATATTTTCGAAAAGAATTGTCGTTTCAAAATTTCATAATTCCGTAACAAAATTAATTTTACAATAGAAAATCTATTGCTCAACAAGATCACTGTTTAACGAAAACTTCACAACTCCAACTGTCGCAGCGTTTCTTCTTCTCTAGTTTTCTACATATGGAGCAAAGTAAACCAAATGCACAAAGGCCCGGAACAAGTTATTAGTGGTAAAATACAACAGTACAGCCAGAGATATTGGTTCAATGATATATTGTTGGTTAAATTTCTGCGAGTTCAATAATGCAGCTGATAAAAATCGTAAAAATAAAATTCAAAAGTAAATTTATGCAATTATATTAAAAATTAAGCAGTAGTTTGCCGCCTAAAACTTTCAATATTGTAGGTGGTAAGGAACCGCTAAAGACATATCTCTACCACAAGTTTGTACTTGTAGATCTATTTTTTAAGTTTTGTAACAACTATTTTAATTT